TATGTATATAAGCGTATAAAGCTCCAGAGAGACACACAGGCGTGTATAGAGTAATATATATATATGAGTAGAGGAGTCACTAATTAGCACTTTTGGATTTATAGAGGGCACGCGCACCCCGCTATATATATATATATCACGCACACTCATATATCATACTTAAACACACAGAGAGTGGGGGGTCTCTTTAATTTTTTTTAATTTTTTATATATATATATATATATAGAGGGGGATTTTCTCTCTAAGTGGGGGGCACACTATTGCTCGGGGTGCGCGCCCCTCCTTTTGGCACTCGCTCTCGAGGCATCTCTTTATTGAATTAGTGTCGAATTTATTTATATTTTAATTTTGCGTCTACGCTATAGAGGGGGAGAGAGAGTATTTTTATATTCACTGTGTAAATGTGATAAATATCTTTTTTGCTTTATTTTTGTTCACACGCACGGGTTTTTTTTTTTCTCGCCCACATACGAGTAAATTGGGTGAGAGGGAGGTTTATTTTGGTTAAAAAACACTGTCTCTTCTCTCCACATAGTCACGTGAAACTCGAGTTCTTGTGTTTGAAAAAAAAAATCACACTTTTTTAAATGTTGTCTACTCTCAACAGTTAGTCAGCGCTCTCTCACACTCTCGTATTAGAAAAAAAAAGTCGCATTATATATATATATATATATAGAGATTATATAGATATGATATATATATATATATATATATATATATATATATATATATATATATATATATATATATATATATATATATATATATATATATATATATGTTTTTGGTGAAGTGAATTAATTGAATGGACATTGAGTAGTAGTAATTGGAGTGAACTTTGTGATCCCATCTCCATTGAATAGACTTCTTCTTGACCCTTCACCAAACACACTCATTCATTTCTTGTTGCTCCACAATCTCTTTTGCCTTTCTTTTTGTGACCCCCATTTTTTTTTAATTTTTTTTTATATATAAAAGGTTGAATACTTAAGTTGGCAAAACTTTTACAAAAGTTGCATTTTTATGCAAATCCCAAAAGATATATATGTTTCATTGTTGGCATTGCTTTATTTCCAAATAATTCTCTATGAAAACAAGAATGTCATAGTGATGCCATTGATAATTGCAAAATGCTACACATTTCTTTAATCGACTCGCCTTGATTTTTCTTACTCATATTATATATATATTTTTCTCTCTAATATAACTCGAGTTGTTTCAAAGCTTATCGAACAAAAAAATTATGTTCACGACTGGTTAATTATTTTAACAAATTTAGCTCGAGCGAGGCTTTAGCAATCGATCTCGAATCGAAGATAGTCTAGCCATAAGTTCTTTTGAGTCGTGGCCCAAAACAACACGTTTAATTATTTACCATTTCACATGTAGTATTAGTGTATTACTAATGAGCCCATTTCAATTAATTGAATTACTAATCAGCCCAATTGTTGTTGATTTGGGCCTTATTTTGAAGTAGCAAAGTAATCACTGACCCATATCCATGACCCGTTTAAGACTGCTCCGGATCGTGGAAACGGGTATCCCTCCAGCACCAAAAAAATTCAAATTTCAAATTAAATCCCAGTATCCCACGTGGCCACGTCCGACAAAAACGGAAAATAATAAAAATAAAAATCGGAGCGGCAACGGTCAGTAATTAATTAGTATCCAGGCGTGAAAAAAAAAAAAAAAAAATTTCAAAATTCAAAAAATTATCAACCCTAGAGTGTAAAATTGAAGTTACACCCTCGTTTTACTACCAGCCTCAGATATATATATAACCCCTGTTTCACCACAAGTTCCAATATACCATATTCCCCCCCAGAGAACGTCTTTGTATACGCTCCTGGTTATTTCTCTGTTCTTATTCAGATCCAGATCTCCTTTACGAAGTTTAATCTTCCAAACCAAAAGCGAAAATGAGGGAATGCATTTCAATCCACATTGGACAGGCCGGAATTCAGGTCGGCAACGCTTGCTGGGAGCTCTACTGCCTTGAACACGGCATTCAGGTTCGCCTCGATCTATTTTTTACTTTTTCCGATTCGTAACTAAGATTCTCAGATTTGTTTATTTTCTGTTATAATTATGCTAGATCTATGAAGTTTTTTTGTTTAATATTCAGATCTAGCTGTTTAAACCTACTTCCAGTATTATTTTGTTGCGAATGAGCGATTTTTTTGTTGGATGTGTGTATATGATAGAGATTTGCATTATGCAGATCTGAATTTCTGTTCGTATCTGACGAAATATATCAGATATGTAATTTATTCGGAAATATATGAAGTTTTTTTGTTTAATTATCAGATCTAGTTGTTTAAACCTACTTTCAGTATTATTTGGTTGCGAATGAGCGATTGTTTTGTTGGATGTGTGAATATGATAGAGCTTTGCATTATATAGATCTGAATTTCTGTTCGCATCTTTCGAAATTTATCAGATATGTAATTTGTTCGGAAATATTGATGATTCTTTCCTTTGTGATTTGAAATGTTACAGCCTGATGGACAAATGCCCGGAGATACCACCGTCGGTGGCGGTGATGACGCCTTCAACACATTCTTCAGTGAAACTGGCGCTGGAAAGCATGTTCCTCGCGCGGTGTTCGTAGATCTGGAGCCAACTGTGATTGACGAGGTCCGCACCGGCACATACCGCCAGCTGTTCCACCCAGAACAGCTCATCAGCGGAAAGGAGGATGCCGCCAACAACTTTGCCAGAGGTCATTACACCATCGGCAAAGAAATCGTGGATCTGTGCCTTGACAGGATCCGTAAGCTCGCGGACAACTGTACCGGACTTCAGGGCTTCCTCGTTTTCCATGCTGTGGGCGGTGGTACTGGATCTGGTCTCGGATCTCTTCTTCTCGAGAGGCTCTCTGTTGACTACGGTAAAAAATCAAAGTTGGGTTTCACCATTTACCCTTCCCCCCAGGTTTCCACTGCTGTTGTGGAGCCTTACAACTCTGTGCTCTCCACTCATTCTCTGTTGGAGCACACCGATGTTGCTATACTCCTCGACAATGAGGCTATCTACGACATCTGCCGTAAATCCCTCGATATTGAAAGACCCACGACACAAAT